GCTTGCGGTTTCAGCAATTGCTTTTCCATTTTAAATCACTTAATGGTTATAATAATATTATGTGATTATTCTGGCTCTTCATTGCAATTATGGAATTTTGCTATTTGTCATGATTTGATAATATTTTTAATATGGAGTGTGATTTTGAATCACAGTTCCGAAAAAGCATATGGTTATGACAATTGAATATTATTTTATTATTGTCATAATAATTTAGATTATGATTTTAACAATCATATTTTGAAATTCATTTGAATTTGCTTGTCCAAAACTTTTTATGGTAATAATGATGATATTATGTAATATTTAATAATAATGATGATGATTATCATTATTATAATTAAATGTTGTTCGGTTACAATTAAGAAAATTGATAATTCCGTTATTACTGTTACGTACTAATTATTAGAATTATTATAGTAATAACAATTATTGGTTTTTGAACCGATGGATCAATGTTTTGTGCCAAACTGCGCCAAACAATACCGCCGAACTCTCAGTATACGAGGGTACCATTAAATAATAAATAAATAGTCACATACCGCCGAACTCATGAGCAAAGCTCAAGTCACATCACCACCAATTTCATTCATAGTCACACATAGTCATCATCAAGAGGATTGAGGCTCATCAAATGATTGAGCATCTCCCATGTCATTGACCTCATTTTCCCCCTCTCTTGCCAAACATTGAAAATCAAAAAATATTTTCGAGAAGTCATTTTCTGGTTTCGAAACGCACCCTAATTGTTTACAATTTGAACACAGAGTTCATCAATGACTTTGAACGCGATTAACTCAGCTTAACACAATTTGTACGCGTATAAAAACTGCCTAAATACACTTAAGGAAAATATATGAAATGATGTTTTATATATATAATATATATAATATATATATATATATATATATATATATATATATATATATATATATATATAATATAAAGAGAGAGAGAGATGTTATAGAGATATTACAAATGATCCAAGAATGAGAACCCCAGGATCCAAGAAGGCAACCTAGACGAAGAAAGTGACCCGAGCCCAAAGAAGGCGATCGAGACTGCCGGGCCAAGCAATTAATGCAATCCGGACCAAGCAATTCTGACCTATTGTATGCGACCTACCATGGGACCGACCCAGGGCTTCCAACTAGGCTTTAACCCGTTCCACGGCTTACCCTGAGTTAGGGGTGATCGTTCCTGTTCCGGTTCCGCAAATGACCAAACGGAAATGGAACCTTATAGTACGGTTCCGGTTTATGAACCAACGGTTCTGATTGGAACGTCGTTCTAACCGAATTTAAAAAAAAAAAAAAAAAAAAGAAAGTGAAAAAGTGAGACCATGCCTCTTTGGCCTTTGCGCCACTGCCCACTGCCAATGTGGCAGTGAGGTAGTATGCTGCAAGCCTATGCCCTGCTGCCATCATTTTAAAATTATTTCTTTTTTTTTTCGGTTTGGAAAACCGAACCGTCTGGTTCCGGTTCCGGTTCCTTTATTTCACAAAACTTAATCGGAACCTTATTGGTTCCAGTTAGGAATCGGAAATTACGAACGGTTCCGGTTATATTACAGTGATGATTACGGCTCGAATCGCCGTGGTCACCCCTACCTGAGTTTAGCTAAGTTTGCTATACTTTTTCTTGTATAAATAGCTCATGTCATAACTTAGATAAATCATGTTCTATTCTTACAAAACTCTTGTAACGTTATTATTATATTAATCCACTCAATATTATTATTACAATTATCTCTTGATCTTTTACTATTTTACCCATTAATTTATGCAAATTTATTGATTCATCCATATCATGGGTCATTTTGTTCTATCAAGATGAATTAAATCATATAAGGAAGTTAATTCATAAAATCCATAAGGAAATTAAATAAAGGAGGATAATATATATACGAAGCTCCCGATATGCATTTACGGAAATTAGAATGGAAATCTGCCTAAATGCAATTAATGTGATTATAATGGAATTACATTGTGAATTTGTGATGGATTTATGAAACCACTTTACATCATGAAACCACTTTACAAAAAGGGGATAGGAAAATTATAATAATATTATTGTTACTAATTGGAGCCTTAAGTTCAAAAGATTATATACGACTCGAGATTATAATTCAAGGAATAGATAAATAATAAATAAAGGAGCCCAAATAAGGAGCTAGGAATAAGGCAAATTAATTGACCCATGAATAAATGTGTATTTCTAATATTGAATGTACATTATTTGTGTACTAACGTTTATTATTTGATAGTATATACCAAATAATGTATCTTTAAAAAATGAATCTTTAGTATAATAAAAATGTACTTTATGTAACCGAACCCAAGTGTCAATATTAGAAGTCATGATAACACGGGGCGCCGTTGACACGATGGAGAGCGCTCGACGCCCACTAGCCACACTATTGTAGCTCGAGGAGTTCAGGAGACCCTTTTTTTTAGGGACCACTGGCCTTGAGACCGCCCCCCGCCCCTTAGCGGTAAGTTGGTAAACCCATGGGTCAACCTACCCTCTATACTCAACATATATTCCACCCCCCCCCCTCCCCCCCCTTCACTCTCTCTCTGTATCGCCTCACACCCAAGTCCGTAATGGATGGGTAGTTAATATAGCCCAAAGTCACAACCCTTTACACTAAAATGCAATGAAATTTAACTTAGAAACATTTCTATCTTACCTGTGTTGCATTCACACAAATCTATAGTTCACCAAACATGGCTAGGAAAATACTTCACAAAGCTCATACACAAATGATACAATAAAAAATTAATACTATTTTATACTTAATTCAACACGATTTATAAAGCCATTGATGAACTCTAAATCAACCCATCAAAAAGCAAAATTTTCTTCCTCCAACATGACATGAACAATTAATTTACAGACCGGTCATGGTGAAACAAGGGTGTCCACATAACTAGTAACCATATAACCAAGATCATAGGGGATATTAAAATTCTTACCCCTTCTAGCGTTTGGTCTATGGAGCTTCAACTGATGCCCAACCATCATTAGAATATCACCATTTTCCGAAACATGTACAATTGCGAGTTTAGCATTACACAGAGCCATGTATGCCGTGTTCTCTGAACCCCGGGGAAGTGGATGATGAACTGGTAAGTTTGAAATGCAGACTAGTTTAGTCCATGATTCTTCAACTCCAAACTCATTCATCACCCAAACTTCCATTTGACGTTTGAGATGAAAACCTGCAAAAAGCAATCCTCTTGACTCACCTACACAAATGGCAGCCCCATGTTCATGGCTGGGTAACGCTATAGCTTTGGCTGTTTCGGTGGTTAAATTAAAAGAAATTATATTCCAATTCCAGTCACTGTCATCTAAGTTGTTGTTGCACCAGTTGAGACTACCACTCACAAACACAGCAATTCTGGATAAACAAACCCACTACTAAACCCTCTATCACATCTTTTCCATGTCCCAAGCTTAAAACTATACACCAAAACCACATATTCATCATCACCATTATTGTCACCATAATAAGCATAAACAACCTTGTAGTCGTCATTATGCATGTCGTATCCAAATCCAAATATGCTTATGTAGCTGAACTGCCATACGTCTGGGATTGTCTTGACGTTTCCATTTAATGAAGGGTTCCAAATCATTATTTGATACGGTTTAGCACGAAAGCAAAAGAGCCCATTGCAAGAACCCAAAAATTCAAAACCATCTTTAGGGATTAAGACTGAGCGGTCAATTGTAATAAACTTTCGAAATGATGATTGCTTGTTTTCTGTAATAGAAAACAAGGACATATAGCTAATCCGATTTACACTACTATATGTCATGACCTTAATATCCTTTTTCGAATGAAAATTTAAGTGCAATTTGACAAATTCTGGAGATGATATTAAAGCACGCCAAACTTTTGAAACACACCTAAATTGCAGTTGAGATTTCACAGGCAGCCTTTTAAGGATTTCTGTGATTATATCTTGATTCAAATTTTCTTGTTGCATATGGCGCTTTGGAGTAGGGAGTGACATCCTGATTGTGTGTCTTAGATAAAAATTCCTTTTGTTATCTGAAAATAAAAAAATATATATATAATTATATATTTTAACCCAACTCTGATCTATTTCTCACTATATCCACAAGAAATTTAAATGTGAGTACATACAAAATGAATAAAAGCCATACAAATTACAAAAAATATTCCAAAAAAGGAATTAGTTTAACAACAAGGAATTAGTTTCACTTATTTTTATAGCGTTACCTTCACCCACCTACCTAACCATCAAACACCACCTACCTACCCCTACCATCACTATTTCCTATATTCCTATAATATAATCACATTCTTTTTACGCACTATAACTATTTATTTATTCCTACTAGCTATCACCTACCTATTAATCCATCCCCAACTATCAATGCTCCACAACTGTCTACTTACCCATTACTGCATATGCATCTATTGCATTCATATTTCTTTTACTTGTTTTACTATTATTTCTAACTCAATCCCATCTACCTAACCACAACTCCATATATAACAACCTTACATACTTACAATATTACTTATACTTTTATCAATTGTCACTACATTTTTATTTCCTTTATGAGGAAAAAAATAGTGCAAATTAGTTTCCTATTTTACAAATTAATAAATAAATAGATTTGAACTCATTTAATAGCTTATAATGAAAATGAAAACATGATATTTTTTTAGCTGTGTGCGCGTGTGTGTGTGCGTGTGTGTGTGTATATATATATATATATATATATATATATACATACATACATACAGATAGAGAGAGATGAAGAGAGAGATCGAGATAGAGAGAGAAAAACTATATCAAAATTGCACAAAACCTATTTGAAGTTTGTTAGGTTTTTTTTTTTTTTTTTTTTTTCGTAATCTCTTTCTCACTTTTAATGGCAGACAAGTTTGTTAATGCGGGTGTTTTAAGTAACAAAAATTTAGAAAAAAATAGAAAATGTATTCAATAAAACATGTTTCGAAATGAATTTGTCAATGTTTTCACAATTTCAATTTCATTACAAAGAAAACAATTTTTTGTGGTTCAAATTAAAGGAAACATACATCTATGCTTCTAAAAAAATTTCAAGTCTTATAGCTAGTAAAGGGGATGAGACTAGAGATTACCTTCTCAATCTAAGGAGTTTCGATGACGATTGGAGAGATCGGGTTCCAATCGAGAGATGAGAGTCAAAAGAGATCGACAGCGAGAGCGAAGATTAAAGTGAGAGGTGACAAACTTGAGAGAAAGAGGATTTCGGTGCGGCTTCGAAAGAGAGAGCGGAGGGTAGACGGGGAGGAAGAGGGAGGGAAGGAGGGAGGGAGGGAGAGAGAGAGAGGAGAGGGTAGTTGGGAGATATGGTAACGGACGAAGAAAGCGTTACGGTTTGACAGAATTAAATTGGGTGGGCCAACCTAAAAAAATTTTCCTTCAGGGAATTTGGTCTATTTGTTTGTTAATGTAGAAAAGGTAAGGAGTGTACAACATGGAAATGTAGAAAATGGAAATTGAAAAAAAAAATTCTATACAGAGTAACCCTTAAAGTATATTTGGTTTACGTAATTGAGTTTTGAGGAAAAAGAATAATATTCAATAGGGAATCAAAAGCGAGATATAGACTATGAATTAAATTCCATTTTTGGTTATTGAAATGTATATATTTTAGGAATTGTATTTAGGTTTTGGTTCGTTTTAGAAATAGAAATTATGTACGTATTCAAATTATTGAAATGCCCTATATAATAAAAGATATTTATTCTCAAGGATAGCATATTCTGGTGAATAGTATTTTTCAAGAATATATAAACTTAAAAAATGATCGAATAAGTGTACTCATAAAAATTCTATACCATTCTAAACATATTCAACGAATCAAACATGTTGTTAGTCTTTTAGATTCATGTGTGTTTTATTCTTCTTTAATTTGTTGAATCTTTTGTTAGCAATTAGGCATTCTATTACTTTTGATACATCACTTATGATTTTTTTGTCCAGGCAAAGCATAGAATTGGAAAATATAATTTGTAGTAATAATGAGAACATGGGGTTTTAGAGGAAGGTGTTAGATAGTGACTACCATTCAGCGTCTTGAAAGTGTGTCTTTGATATTTGGACAAGTACCAAACTGAAAGGGATATACAAGACATTGAATTAAAAGAAATAGAAGATGATGATGACCCAGACATAAGTTGTACCGGTCTTTTATAATCTCTAAAGAACTGGTTCTCTAATTCATCAAATGTTTTAGATCGTGGGCCGGGATGTGCCATGAAATTTTGAACCACATCATCACATGACTCCATGTATGAAACCTTTGTATGATCACATGTGGTTTACCCCAAGCAGTACATAGGCACTACTATATGTTGGCATGCTCATGCTTGTGTGCAAGGCAAATAGCATAGTGTAGGCTCATCGCGCAAAGCACATAACCCCTGTGTAAGGTTTGCGACATGGCTACACCTCTAGCCTTATCTCATGCCCCACATTCTACCAGATTAACGATAACCACATCCTAATTAAGAGCATGAACAACCTGAGAAAAATAGGGAGAAATACCTAATTCACGATGTCATCCAAAATGCGCGTTAGAATTAAAGATCTTTCGACTTAGAATTAGAGCAAGAGATTGCCCCACTTTTATGACGCCTCAATCCCAAACTCTTAAACTCAAAGGCATTCTTGGGTCCACTTTTCCCCCTTATGCAAAATCTACATAACCAGCACTTAGGAAAGGGATTAATCGCTAATCCAAACTCCATACCGAACTACTCACACTTCAAAAAGAAGAACAAGTAAAAAGCACAAATGAATATTAAGAAAATTATTGTAGAGGAAATAAAAGAAAGAGTATGGAAAAGCTTCTCTATGTAGATGCAATGTTGAGGTTGAATTCGACTTCGATCCGAGATTAAAAGATTGAAAAATGTGTTGATTAAATGTAATCTAAGCTAGTCTAAACTTAAAAGATGAAAGGAACAAAAGGGAACCCGATTGAAACTATCTAGCGTTTGCCTCCCCCAAAATACAACATAGAACATGTTTAAATACTGTTCAGATTACCCATAGTGGCACAACCAAGGCCATGGTCGTGCCTAATTCGGCCTATAATGAAGTGCACATTGCCTCCATTTGGCATGACCTAAAGCATGGTTGTGTGAAATCTTTCAATAACGGCCTTGACCTGGTGGCCATGCTAATTCTCCTAGTGTGCTCCTCGTTCTTCGTTTGTTGCTCCATTCCTTCTTGAACGGGTTCTTTAACTCCAAAATTGACCGGAAATGCCCCAAAATACTTTCCTCTTTAATTTTTGTGAATAAATGTGCCTAAGACAATAAAGCAAACAAATAAGTCTCAATACACACATGATTCGGGGAACTTTATATTATGCACAAAATATAAAGAATGGTATGCGTACAATATAATAAAGAATATGTTTTATCAGTATGCGTACAATGGAAGAGGCAGTCTACAACATAATTAGAGATGAAATGCACTCTAAAATTTATAACTTTAGTCCCTTAGAAGAATTCTTGATCCAAAAAGTTTCTATGTTGAACAAGAAGAAAACAGCTAAAGAATAAGGGCCTTCTATCCATGACGATGACGGAGATAATTATGATCAGTGAAATCTAGAAGCTACCAACCATCTCTCCAGAGCTCAACATGAGTCAAGCCTAACTGTGGTGCCTGGACAGTCTTCCATGTCAATGGTTGAAGGGGTCACAAGCTGAAGTTACTCTGGAAGGAATTGAATAGAGAGATCAGAAGAAGTTGGTCCGAAAGGAATAGTTGTTCCAACAGTTGTTCCGGAAGGAGTGGAGAAATCATAAGAAGTTGGAGCCACTGTTGAAATTTCGGAGGCAAAGGAGAAGAACAACCAGAAGAAAATGTTCAAATCTCATCCAATAACATTTTCGATGAGAGCAAATTTGCCAATGACTCTATCAACCTGGTGATTGACTAACGTGAAGGAACTAAGAGAGGTGTAGAAGAACCTAAGTTTCCCAAGGTTGTGGATAAAGTTGTATAGGGTACTGAACCAATAAAAAGGGCTAAATTAGAGAAACACCCTATATACCAGAACTTAATGGGAATGTTCTTGATGTTCCAATGGTAGAAGGTATTGGAGGAGAAGTTGGTACCCAATAAGAACCTATGAGGAACAAGCTACAGAGAGTTGTGAAAAATATCTTCATTGTTTGTTGGACAAAAGAAAGAGCTTACATGCAGGAAGATGGTTACCCTCGTCCCTTATCAGTCCTCTAACAACCCCCGGTAAGCTGGAGCGTGTAGGTCTTGAATGCCCAGCTTTGAGACTAACAATTGATAAGGAGAAACTGGAAGGAATTTTGTAAACCCGTCAGTTGCCTGGTTGGATGATGAAACAGATAGTAACTTAACGAGCCCTTGAGTGACTTTCTCACGAACCACATGGCAAACGATTTCTATGTGCTTCGTTCGTTCGTGGAAAATGTGGTTCTCGGCGATGGCAATCGCGGACTTGTTGTCGCAAAATAATGTGGCTGCTCTATCTGTCTGAACATGCAAGTCTATCAATATGGAGTCGAGCCACTGGATACAGTAGCTTGTTTTTTGTTTTTTTTTTTTTTAATTTCCAAGACATAGAGTAGAGCCAAAGAACACCCAATCGGAATCTGAGAAGGCGTTAAGCTGCCGGATACTGTTGGTTGGATAGAATAGCCCTTGGCCTGGAGCACCTTTGATATAGCAGAGGACACGGTGAGCCACCATCAAATGTTTGTCAGTAGGGCTGTCAATGAATTGACTTAACTTTTGGACAGGAAAGCTTATATCTGGCCGTGTTGCTATGAGGTAGAGTAATCAGCCTACCAACCTTCTGTAACAAGCTAACATCATCAAGAATATTTCCATCATCATGTGTTAAGCGATGGCCTAGGACCATGGGAGTTTTAGCAGGCTTGTGGTCATGGAAGCCAACTTCATTCAAGATATCCAGAGTATACTTCCGCTGACAGAGA